CAGTATCACTTCCTCATTCAGCAGCTCCTGTTGGTGTGGGGAAAAAGAAGTAAAAAGCTTATAAAGAAGACTCTATAAAAGTGGAGATTGAAGTTTGAGCTATTATAAGCACTCAGATATATTTACTGAGTACAATAAAAAGCTACTACATAATATGAAGGTCTAGGAAGACACTTTTACAGTTCTAACCCTTAAGGTCCAAAGTGGGATTTCATAGAAATTCCAAAAGTATACATAAATGCTTCCAAGGGGACTTTTTTCAGTGAGTTTAAAACATAGCTGGCAATATTTATCAACAGATTGCCCATTACATGTATTCTTATACTAAATGGGCCTCCCGATCCCAAAACAAAGATGTCTGAAATCAAACATATTTATTGGAGCTGTATCAATGCATTCTGTATTAATGCAATCCACCTAGATGCCTTGGATGAGTTCCACAAAAGATCAGCAATTACAGGACATGTTCCTTTTTCTCCAACAATTTCTGGAATCTCAATAGTTGGGGCGAAAACTGGTGTTGGCTTGTCTGTCAGAAAGGATCTATGTGAAAAGCTTAGAGAGGTTTAGTGAACTGAAAACAATTATTTAGACTGCATTGTCAGAATATTCTCAGTCAATAAAAATTGATGCATTTCCCTTTAGATCTTCTCGATAATTTCAAACTGCCATCTTAGAGAAACTTTCTACCTAATGACAGGATGCAGCCTGCAAGACCAGCACTATCCTGGGTGCATCACAAGAGCGGTGGCCAGCAGGGAGAGGGAGGTGATTGTGCCCATCTACTTTGCCCTCGTGAGGCCCCATCTGGAGTTCTGTGTCGAGGCCTGGGGCCCCCAGCACTGGAAGGATGTTTTTGGAGCTTTTGGAGGGGTCCAGAGGAGCACCACTGAGATGATCAGAGGGCTGGAGCACCTCTCCTGTGAATAAAGGCTGAGGGAGCTGGGTTTGTTCAGTCTGGAGAAGAGAAGGCTCCAGGAAGACCTCACTGCGGCCTTCCAGTACTTGAGGGAAGCTTATAAACAGGAGGAGAGCAACTTCTTACATGGTTTGATAGTGACAGGAACAGGGGAAATGGTTATGGGGGAATAATATGAATGCAGTTTCATGCTAACTTGTGGTTTGAGAATCTGGGCAGCTAAGCAGGATGTCCCTTGAGCATTTCTCAGGTCCTGACTCCCAGCTGAAAGTTCCCAACAACATTTGGCAGTTTTTTCCAGGACTCCCAGAAATGCATGGCCCCGTCTGTGAAGTAGGAGCTTTCCCTTCCTTGCTGCCTCAAACAGATTCCACATACTTTGGATGTTACTTTAGCAAGCCTTACCTTTACTATTATTTTTGGTCAGACAATGGGAAATTGTGTCCTGTAAATTTTTCTCAGCAGCCTGTAATATTTATTTACATAACAAGTGGTAGGAAGAAAATCCCAGCGCGAAGATCCCATTTTAAAACGAAGTAATTTGTCAACATTTATTTTTTCACTCATTTCAATTTGCATGCAAGGATACTAAGCTTTTTCTCTGGCTGTGCTACAGGGCTATAGTTTATTCACAGCAGGAAAGATAGCAAATATAAACAGCAAGCTAATGGGCTGAGCCACTATCTAGCTGCAGCTAAAGCATAGCTAAGTAAGGTTGGCGTTACAGTACAGTGCCTGCACCAAACAAGCCAATATGTGTCCTGCAGATTATAGCTTATTTGGTTCATGCGTGTTATAAAATCTGAACTTCAAGTGTGCATTTTTTAAATGCATTTGACAGCATTTATGTCTGTTCTTTCCAAGGTTTGTAGAGAAATGTTTCAAATTAATAGGAATTGATTCAACTGACTTCAAAATATCAAAATGGCAACAATGACATCTATACACGGGCTCACCCCCACACTCCTGTAGTGTCAGTGGGGAGGCAGAGAAACCTCGAAGGTACCATTCACTTGGCACAGTTCAGAGCTCTGCTGGGATGCACAGGGAAGGCCACTAAGAAGGACCTGTTTCTCCCCACTGACTGCAAGAAGAGAGTGTGATAAACTCAAATGTAGAGGTCTGCATTTCTGATGCGGAAACTGGAAAGGTAACAACTTGCTCACATGTGACATGACAGAGTGGTGACTTAACCAGTGCTCTTATCCTTGGACATCCCAAGGATGGGCTAATCTCTCGACTCACTGCTTTTCTTGTGCAGCACTTACTGGATTTGTGTATCCTTTGCTGGCCATTGTTTTAATGCCAAATTAATCTGCCAGCATGTTCTATCTTACTTTCAGAGTTTTTCCATAAAGAAAAGGAGTTTCCACAAATACACACGTCCTTGAGGGGAAAAACCGGCTTGGTTCTTCTTACTCTTTCCTGGATGATGAAAGAAGTACAGTCAGCATGATGTGAATTGCTCCTGACTGCACACCTTCACCTATTGGCTGGCCCTCTCTCTCTCTTGCAACATTCATATAAGGTTTCTTGAGTAGCCTCCATGCTCAGAACGTAATGACTGCTTTGCCTGAGCACCAAGATGTCTGCTGCCCCGTGTCTTGATGATAGCAAGAGAGACAAATGCACTCATTTTCAAACTTAAGAAGAAATTTTCCACAGATGCAACAATGACAAAATATCTGGGAAAACACAGAACAAGAAAACCTTTTCTTTACTGATAAGCAACTTATTTTAATCCTGCATGGAAAAGCTGAATTACTTATTTCTGTGTGGTCATACGTTCTGTAAGACTGCAACAAATCCTCACGGTTGTCTTAGGATACTTTTTCACACAGTCATGCAGGTACAGGATTACATGGTTTTCCTCAGCTACATATCCTGTTATTAGCTGAACTCTAAAAGGCTTCTGCGAGCATTGCTTTGAGTGGTGTTATTGACTTTACTTTTTCAGACCAAAAATAATCAAAAAATTGTCAAGCTGCCTTAGTTGCTAAAATGACATTTTATGAGTGAGATATCCAGCTAACTATTGATAAGCCTGGGCATCTTGTTACTTCATGTGAGCTGTCATGACAGCTACGTATTCTGTATTTTTGATGCTGTTAAAAGAGCGAGGAGAATGAATCAAACGGACTGTAGCAGGCACTGTTCACTGGAAATCTCAGTCCCTTCTGCAGGAAGATGAAAATGAATAACCTGAATGTCAGAATGCTCTGTCAGTCAGGATCCTCAATCTGATGATGAAGTTGTTCAAATACTTCAAGAGGCACATTGTCTCCATCCTTTTTAAAAATCAGAAATTAAAAGGAATATGGAATTATTATTACCTGGCTGATAACAAAGGCAGATTTCCAGTAGACATTTTGGCTCTTTCTGGCATATGCTTCTGGGCAATTCTGCTCTAGGAACAAAAGACTTTCTGTATATTAGCTCTGACTTCTAAGCTTGTGCCTGGACTATAAGCTTCCAAAGATCTCCATACATAATGGTAAACTATTAGAGACTTTAATTTTCTCTGTTGAGGATGTTTGTTCACAAGCATAAACCTGGAAGTCCAGTTCAAGCCACTGTGTTTACTGACAGTGCACATCTGCTCTCATCTGGAAGACTGCAGGAAACTCCTTTGGCTGAAGGAGTCAAAGCTTTGGAGCACTCGGAGGCATTCCCCATAGCATCACATCTCTCTTGGCCTCTTATTAATTCTGGCCCCTTGCCTTGACTCATTTGTGGGGTATGTGCAAAAGACTTTGAAGGTTAAAAGGTTCTTTGACATAAAGCCATAGCAATTTAATTAGTTACTCCAGTGCTGCCTCAGCTATGCTAAGCTTGAAAAATAAGATGGGATGCAAAGTTGTAGTTTTTACTTACAAAGCCAGCAACCATCTGTAATTGTATTGCTCAGGAAATTCACTCTCCATCACGCAGAGAACAGAAGCACTGGAGCTGGAGTTTCTTCCCATGGCACGGCATCAACCATGCACAAATGCCGGACTGGGAGCTTCTCCCTGCTTTTCCCATCTCCAAAGATTTAAAGCACTACAGAGCACTTCCCTCCCCTCCTCTCACCCCTATCCTGTTTGCAAGGAGGAAGGGAGTTGAAACAGATCAGATTTCTGGAAAGCTCTTGCTGTTGCCTAAATGTTAAGACAGTAAGAGCTGCTTTTGTACAAAAACGTGAACAAATGGCATTTGGCTGTGTCCCAGCGCACTCCTTGTGAGATTTTACTTCACCCATCTTCATCTCTTTTGCTTTTGGAAGTCTTTGAAGAATCTTCCCTTGTTGATTTTCTGCAGAATCTTCAGAAGATTACAGCAAATGGAGAGAACCAAATTTCATCCAGTGTGAGAGAACAGCATAATTACAACTCATCAGTAGTCAAGCACATAACAGAGAGGTTACCCACTGCATCCCATTGCCTCCTTTTTTGTTCCCCCAGTGCTGTGTACTGTGTGAACTGTTAAACAGAGAAGCCAGGAACTTTGCCTTCTGTATCAGTAGGTTGTATATTTTCTCATCCAATCCATCCTGTTTTGGAAGTCTCACACTGCCCTCCGTAGTGGAAGGGACTTGACCTCCCCAGATTAACAGGGCATCTTTCCTTGCTTGCTAATCTAACCAAATCATCATTAAATTTCCGAATTTATTGCTCATTTTGCCACCTCATACCACTTCCCAACACTGAGCTGAAGCTTCCTCTCCTTCCTCACCAACTGCACAGAATTCTCTGCCACCTCTGTTCGCTTTACCCTTACTCGCTCCCCCCCATTGAATTCCACTGCTCGATCAAATTCATCTTCATTCCCTTTCTGCAGGAAACGCTCAGTGCCTTGCATTGTATATGGCGCATGCAGAGACAAAGCTCTGGAAGTTGTCTGCCTCATTAACTTGCACAATCTGTAAGACACAAGGGCAGAGAGTTGTAGAAACATACCCAGGAACAGAGCTTTTCCAATTGCACTTGCTGTTGTGATAAAGAGTTTTGCGACCATAAAAAATAAGCAAACACACCAAAACCACACTTTGATGTATTACGCAACGTGCTTGATGAAAACAATAAAAAAGCTTTCCACTCTGTACAGCACTTCATAAATATGCATTTATTTCCTCATCTTTCATCAGTTTTACAGATGTAACCAGTGCCTCAGTGCTTGTATTTGTCAGAAGCATACAATGGAACTTCAGATACTTTTATTATACAGTTCTGAAGTAAAAAACAAATTAATGGTCCTTTCCATATGGAACGGAGCAGAAAAAAAAAAAAAAAAAAAAAAGCAATTAATTTCTTATAACATATTACAGTGTTACATAAGATTTCCAACTTACAATTCTATCCTATTCCGTGTATTGTATTTACATACTTGAGTAATTGCTTACTATTTACATATTTCAAATACTGTAGTCATAAATCTGTTTATATTGTACATTCCTGTTTAAATTTTTGTTACAGAAATTCTTTAATGCATTTTGGACACTGCAATTTCAGTATTTCACATCATTTCTAGCAAATTACTGCCTGGTTTCACCAGTGATGTGTCCGGGTGCCTCCTTCCTAAGAAAATAGATATTACAAAGGAATTTTACAATATTTAGAACTTCGAGTTTTGAAAAAAAAAAAAAAAATATTGTTGAATGTGGGATGTAACAACGAGAATGTTATTTCCTGTTCTGTGTAGCATTATGCTTGGAATGACATTTTTCCTGAGATGTACAATTGTTCAGTGTAAGGTGGTTGGTTGCTTCTGTTCTGAGTGAAATATTTCATGGAAATTTAAAATGTATGGAAACACATGAAATGTTACATAAATGTTGGCCATCTATTTACTGCAAATGATTCCTATCTGTACAGATATATAAACCTTATTTATATATCCATCTCTTATTTTCCAGAAAAATCTGTATCTATATAAATAAGCATCGATATTAGGAAACGTCTCACTTGCTTAAAAGCAATGTGCTCAAGTACAATATTCAACTTCTGACACAGACACGGTAGTAGAGGCAACCTCTGATGGTAATGCTTTCTTCCAAGGGAAGTCAGAGACAGCTGCTGTATTGGGAAGACGTGGCAGACAACTTGCATGGACCCATAAGGAATTCTATGCATCCAGACCCGTGTGTGCGACGCAGAAGCATCTGACACTGCAGACAACTTTGGGTCAACTTTCCATGTTAGGTGTAGCTACCTAAACAACATCTCAATTAAAAAATAATAATTATTATAGAAATCTCTTACAACATTGTACATTTAATGCTGTGTGTCTTTTCTCTAGTTACAATAATATGCTTTTCTATTAACAAATTAATGTGAATACAAAGACTAAAGCAAACGGTCATACATTTCTTTTACTCTGTTATTAGTAGCTATTCTGTTAGGCACAATATGACGTTCTTTGTAAACATAAAGACAAATCTCCATACATCAGAGCTGTAACGTGAACTTACGGAAACGATTTACACACGTTTCAGAAACAGAGCCCCACTACAGACCCCAGGCAAGGTGCAGCAATCCAGGAGGCATCCATTTGTGGCCATCACAACTGCAACCCCCAGCTGCTGTCAGTGGGACAGAAGTGCATCCTCGTCAGCAAATCCTCCTGCTTCGGAATTAATTCCTTGCTTTCTCTTCTACCATAGAGTTCACATAATTTTAAAACACGGATCTCATTATGACATGTATTGCATTCTTTTTACCCTGAAACAACTTATTATTATACAGTTGATGTCAAGAACTAAAGCCCCTAAAATAAGTAATGCAACTAATATGTCTACAAAGCTTTCATCAAAATACATATCTATGTATTTTTAGGATCTTTAATCTTCCATAACAAGTCATAGGAGAATACCTCTTGAAAGAACTTCATTTCCCAAACTTAAAAGTGCACTATACTTTTGGTGTGACACTGTGCTACTCTAGAACTGAACTGATGAATATTCAGAGCTTCTAGTATCTTGCTTACTGCAAGTGTCACCCTTAATAACCCAAGTGTTTATGGAAGGCACAAATTAACATGAGTTTAGTTACGTCTAATAGAGAATTCTTATCTGAACAGATTTCTTGAGAATAAGTGGACATAAATTGTGTAAGTTCAGCAAAATTATTCCGAATCCCACGATTATTTCAAGAAACACTGCTTTCATTCTGCACAGTCACACAGAATTTGTATTCTGCTCATGTTGTAAAAGTGAGCTGTGTGTACAGTTATTGGGAACCATCTCCTCACTTCCTCTGAAATAATAAGAAAAAAGGTACTAAATTATTTAACAAATGAGCTTTGAACAGATATATTAATTTTCCTTTTCTAATACACTAGAAATAGAGAATAAGGCAACAACTGAGATAAAAATATATCTTGCTTTGTAAACCAAGCTTCTTAGTAAGATTCTTAAAAGTGAAATCTAATAATGAAAAACTGAAAGGCCCTGAAAGAAAGGCTTTAATTACTGTAACAATACCACATCTTCCATTCAATATTTTAAAAACACTCCAGAATATATAAAGAGGAACTTATCTTAGTGTCACTGATGAGTCTTAGGCATAAAGTCACTTCTTCGTATGGCTAAAAACCTACAACACCCAACAATGCTGAATAATGTTTACAAAATGCCATCAATTTCCACTGCACCCTTTTATTTTCTTGTATCATTCTAACCTCACTCCATGGAACAGTGAAAGATGGTATGAGAACATCAGCATCGTCCTGGTTATAAACAGACCTCCAAACACAGGTCTTGCTGCCTCAAACGGTCTTTGTGACTGTGAAGAGCTTTGTTTTTCTCATCCAAAAGGAGTAATTCCAACTGCCTGTTAAAGTCATGACATAAAAACAAAACAGTCACAAAATCATTCTGAGAAATTCTAAGACTCAGGTATGTATAAGAATTGTTCAACATATATTCAACTCCATTTCACCAAATTATAGGAGGGGAAAAAAGAAGACAATTATGTGATAGACTTCTGAATTAATTTTTCGTGCTGAACAAAGAAGTTCTCTTTTAACTTAAATTCATTCATTGCTCAATATCCTTTTTTGTCCATTCCTTTGGTATTCTGTTCTCATTTTCCAAATTCCAACAGGATTTTAATGGTCATCTCAATTCAAATGGAAGAACAATGAGCTGAAATCACAATCATAACAACAGATGCCATAATACTGCAGAACACATTGGTCTTAATAATTTCTGGATCTTCATATTCATTTCTTGTAATGATTGGGGGCATCTGCAAATGCAAACTTCAGTCTGTAGGCCTCTGCTAGGAGTACACTGATTTCTTCATTTCCCCAGTGTGCTGTGGGCAAATTCTGTAAAAATATCAGCAATTCCTAGTTGGAGAGAGAGAAAAAAAAAAAGAAATCGATATATTGCAAATACAAGTGCTATATCTATATATACATATATATATATATATATACATATTTAATAGCTATTTATTATAGAATGATTACTTACATGCATGCAGCACCTCAGTATCCCAAACAAACCTGAGATCCTCTTAAGTGATTTTTCTGTAACTTTTATAGCAAGAAATACTTGTTATTCAATCTTTCAGTTCAGAAACAAGCTGTAGGTTGTATTTATCTACAACTATTTCTAAGTCTTCAGAAATAAAATAAAATACAAGAGGAATAAATTCACTTTCTTTGTGCAGCATGAGAGTGAAAGAACTGATAATGTCCAAGTGAGAGCTAGGTAGGCTGTATTTACTGCATTTGCCCTTATATGAGTGTACAGCAGCAGTGCCCCTGACCAAGGTTGGGAGTCCCTTGTTGTGTTCAAACAAACAAGAACTCACATGAACTGATTTAGAACCACCGCGTTATGCTTCTAAAATGAAAACAGTGTTATCACTCCCATTTTACAGCTTCTAATTGAAATACAATTCTTAGAGGTGGGAGCACACACAAAACTACCAGAAATTCAGTTCTAAGCTAAGTCCAAAATGGTTTAACTCAGGACCAGTCTCTTCTCAGATTTATCATATTTCCTACATAGTTTTAGCCCCACGACACTTCTTACACACCTGCCAGGTCCAACCAAGCTCTTGAAGTTTTCGCATATTTTGTGTACAGGTCCTCCTGCATTTAACTAGAAGACAGACTGTAACTTGCAGTTCGTAACAACTGCGACCCAGATTGTTGCATATCCCTATGCTAGGTCTGAACAAAATGCACATTTACATTTCCTCTTTAACAAACCATAATATATTCATTTAATGTTTAATCCCTAATCGTTTCTATAACCTCTCTACCAGCTGGGTGAGGCAGACAGACACAGATAAAACATGGTTGCTGGCTACCCCACATGTCAATGTCAGATCTAATGTTTACTTAGTAGGCCAGGTTAGTCCAGTGCATGAACAAAAGTGTTAAAATTCTCTTCCCTAATTAATCTTTTCACATCCAAACATGAAGAATATCTGGCTTTTTCTAGGGCTGCTAGGTATGCTATGTATATTGTACAGTGAGAAAGAGTTATTAGTCTAAACTAATTTATTTCAATGAGGATGCTGTTACTATACTGTTGAAATTTCATAAAGAAAAACAAGTTCAAATGAAAATCTGTATTTATTTTAAAAAGGTCCCAAAATGTGGATTCTTGTTTTTACAGGGCATATGTTTCTCTGCAGCAACAATAAATATATGCAACCTCCTACAGACCCAATCTGCAGGACTGTAGTTCTATACTGAGCTACGGTGCACAGGGATCAACGACTGCACTTCAAAGGATCCCTTGAAAAGATTACTTCTATCCCATTTCTGATTGACAAAAGGACATTCTCTCTCTCTATCTTTCTTCTTTTTCCTTCTATCTGTCTTTCAATCCAAAGTATTGTTGGCCTCCAGAGTTGCACAACTGCACGCATTCTCGAAATTATGATTGATCACAAAGTCTGAAACTCTTGACAAAAACGTGCCAATCACTTCAAACATTTTCATCTTCCCTGCTATTCTTTGGAGAAGTAGCACTATTTGATGAAGAACTAGTTTAACATTTCTATTATAAATTGCAAATATTCATAATTATTTTCATCATAATCAAGTACGGAAAGAAATGGCAGAGTAATCTATTGACTGTCAAAACCCATTTACCTTCAAGCAAGCATTTTGTCAGCGTTATCAGGGGGAAAAGATCATTCCTTAACTGCTCAAACGCAAAGACTGAGCAGAGAACATGTGTTCCAAATCCAAGGGGGCTAACTAGCCAACAAAATGAAACACTGCTTAGTGATTTACTAAAGATAAGGCTTATGTATCTGTGATCTACTGCTTTAATGAGCTTCAGAAGTGTCTAAGGTAGAAATACATTCTTCAGCTTGTTGAAAACACAAAGTATTTGAAAGTGCAAAGCAGAATTTTGAAACAAATACGGAATATACAGCATGCTTAAAAATGAATAAATAAGTAAGTAACACCAGGAGAAAACTCTCCGTAGTCCTAGGTTCTGAAGAAGAGAACAAACATATGCTAATCAATACCTGCAAGAGTCCATGACAACATGATCTAAAGCTGCTCAATTTAACACTGTACACTTGCAAAAGAGCAAAGATGACCATATGAACGACTCAAGAGTATTCATTCAATTTTAATTAGTATTCTTACAAATAAGAAGATCCATTTGAATCCTCTTGCAAATAAGGCATCCATGCTAACTGGTTAAATTTGCTTTCCTATTTACTTCCAGAATTAACATATATGAGACACAGTTTGAAATACGCTGAATTGGGGACTTGGGTTAATGCTTAACACAAAAATACACTGCTGACAAACTGCCTGGTATATTTCAGAGCAAGAAAACTAAGTTAAAGAAAAAAAAGGAAAGAAAAAGCAGTATTTGTAAAATATCTCAGCAAGATTTTTATTTTTTTTCTGCCTAATATTGTACTTAGCTGGGGAATCTGCCAGATACTTTCTGGTTCCATTGAAATGACTCACCAACTATCAAGGCTAAAGGGATGAAAAATATCTTGATCTTCTTTTCATACTTAATATACTTGCTTCAAATTACAACCACTTATCTGAGTAGACCTGGTCAGCTCCATTTTTTTGTGAAAATTATCTAATATGTCCATATGTGCAAACAATCATTAATGCCAAATTTTACTTTCTTTTACAAGCAAAAATGCCCATTTCTCCCCGCACACCCACTTCTATTGATCCTAACCTGCAGAGTTAATTATGTAGCAGCTCATCAAAAATTAGCTGTTAAGGCAGCAATGTTTTAATAGAAGCACTAGTGACCAAAACCACAGTTTAAAATTAAGTACTTAAAAATAACATCACTTAACTGTGGCTTTTAATATCTTTAAATAAAAACAGTTGCCATCCTTTTCAAAGCACTTAAGATAATCTGAGTTGTCAGATTTAGTTGTTAGATTTGGATGTAAGATGAAGTTGGCCTCCATCTTTCGCCAGCTATCATTTTAACATCTTTCATGTTACTGCATGCAAGAAGATTTTAAAGTAGTCTGAACGCTCTCTCTCAGCACTTCAAGTTTTCCTAATTCGGTGGTTATACTGTTAGAAGTCAGTGAGTATTCACAGCCCAGTGATGTGTGCCACACACAAGACAGCCGATGCTGCATAAAACTTTACTCTGCGTGACCTGCATGCATTTGCTCTCCAGCAGTGTTTAGGAGTTGTTCATAACCTAGTTTACCTTTTTTCAACATTGACTGAAGTCTAACACTGAGCTGTTATAACGATCGTCTCTCGGGACTGACGTAGGTAAACTGGCAATCCCGAGAGCCAGAGCCATAAGCTGCTATACTCAACTATCAGCTGAAGGCTCTGCTAGCTTGGGTCAACTGTGAAAAGGGCCCACGTGGAGAACAGCAGCAGTTATCAGTGGGTAACAGCCATACTCTCCATCACTTTATCAGATGTGTTACATTCATGTAAAAGAACCACAACAGCTCTTTGCGAATATCAGCTTTAATACCCCTTTGCAATGTCACAAAAATAACTGTGACAATAATGCCACCTTCATGCAGGGCTTTTGAAATGTAAAGATTTTCACATCCGTATTTCCAGATCCCTCAGATAAAACTAAGGACAGCAGAAACTACCTTGCCCAAGGGCAGCCAGCAAATCATCAGCAGAGCTGGGGTTTCCAAAATCCCACTCCAAAGTTTGCTTATATTTTAGCTGTATCTCCAACAGATACGTCCTAAATTTCACCCCTTACATTTGGGAAATAGCGCACTCAAGTTTCACCTGCACCAAACAGCCACCCTCATCTCCTGGCTAAGGCCTACGCCACGAGCTCGCCTACCAGCACAGCTCCAGTTCCATCCATTTCCCTCCTCATGGTGCACTGGGGAGCAGCACTTCCAGCCTCCCTCTCTTCCTCCTTGCCATTCTGGCAGTGGCAAGTTTCTTCCCTATTGGGAAACCAGCAGCTACTTTCTGATCTTCGGTGTAACTGTTCAATTTAAACATACAACCAAAAACCCTTAAAAATAAAACTCTTACAAATTACTTCCTGTTTATTTTTATCTCTCTTTAAGGTGTAGGCAAAAATAAGAGTGTTAAAAACTGTAACACTGCAGAGAATATGAGATGACAGCGATTCCCTTATTGCCTATTTTGATTGACCAAGCCAGCTTTGGGAACTAAGAAGCCTCTGTGCAAGAGCAACATTTGGAGGAAAGACGTAGAGGAAGCCTGAGGTGCTACATAGTTTTGCTCCTCTCCCCCTCCCCCCCCCCAAGTACAAGAAAAAACATTGCTCTAGCTCTGTATCTAGCCTTGTTTTCAGCAGCAGATTGCATTGCAGACCTCCTGGGGTCCCTTCCATGCTGAAATTTTCTAGTATTTTATTTTCTAAAGGACACGGGCTTAATTAGAAAAGAAATCCAAAAGCACGATAGAAGAATGCTAAGTATACTTAACTCACAAACAGAAGAATATTCAGTCCCAGAATATAATGCAGTACACAATTAGGAAAGAAACACGGGCAGAGAAAATATGCTCAGTGTAATCAACGAAACTACCATGAAACAAGGAAATTGATAACTTTTTTCCTGTATATGGATTTTGTAGCATACAGTGCAGTCGCTACATATTTTATCCTTTTTCTTCTGTTTGTGAATGCATCCCAGTGTTTTTCCACCCCCTAGAACATTGATTGTTTGTAGCAAAATTTTTGTTCCATTTGCAGAAGAGGAACTGTGTGATAGCCTCCCATGTATTAACCTTCTTCACTATTACAGGTATGACTTGTCTGCTGTTATCTCTCCAAGAAAAGGAAAAAAATGACTCCTTTAGAACAATGTATAAATTTTTCAAATTATTTCATAACAAAATATGCTTTGTCTTGTTCT